AAGGATTGACCGGAGACGATGATGAATAGTGAATGGGAGTAAAATGTGAAAAGTAAAAATGAATTGATTATTTATAGTCAAAATCATAACCCATTCAAATTCTAAACCGCTCAAAGCTTATCCGGATTAGAATAAATCAGTCAAGAGGTGTCCGATTTATGGAATAAGAATCAACTAAGTGTTAATCCGGACAATGAATCGCTTAAGGCATAGGCGATTTAGAAAAACACCGGTCAAGACTCGTCCGGTTTAAGAGTAAACCGCTCAAGAGTCAATTGATTTAGAGATAAATCACACAACAAAGAAATCTAAATCGCTCAAACAAAGGATTAAATCACTCAAGATTTGAACGATTTAAGGACTTGGAAAAAACAAATAAGACAAGCGATTTAGGAATCCGATCAAATCAAGCAAGCAATTTATAAATCTGCTCAATCCCTTGTAAACATATCTAACCTTATCCGGATAAGAGTTTATCATATAGCCTTTTGTCCAGATTAGTCTAAATAGGAAAGTGTTGTCCGGATTTGCAATAAATCGGACAAGTGTTGTCCGGATTAGACCAAATCGGTCAAACATTTATATTTTTTAAACTCTACATCTTTCAAAAATTAGATAATGTTTAAAATACTTGTAAGAAACATATAAGCTGTTAGTTCAATACAGATAAAATTCACTCTTCCTCAAAATATGATCAGATATTCAAAAATAGATAAAAATCCACACTCCCCCTCAAATATAAATCCCCACAATCAAGAAATTCAAAATCAGGTAGAAAAATTGAAACACTGATTTGTATTAAAAAATACAGATATTTGACCAAATGAATTTGAATTAAATACAATTCAATAAATTGAACATTTTTAATAAAATTTCAAAATTTCAAATTTAACATACCTAACTTAGATACAAGAAAGTTAAAGCGTTTTTCATCTAAAGCTTTCGTAAATAAGTCAACTAATTGAAATTCTGTGTTAGCTCTCATCTTTGAATGTAAAAGTATCGAAAAAGTAACACAGCAAGTTTTGACAGAAGATAATATGTCACAAAAGACCGCAGAGGACATTCATCAAAGAAGCCCAACGTGCAAGGTTCAGGTGACAGAGCCCCTGTCTCTATTCACAGAGACTCTGGAACTTGTCCTCTGTATAGACCCTGTTTCAAGACAATGACAACAGAACCTCTGTCGTGTCTCACAGAGGGTCTGCAGTTAGTCTTCTGTGAGAATCTCTTTTAACTCGTTTTTTCTTTGGTTTATTAGCTGCTCATGCTGATCACGTGATCTTGTCTGTAATCTGCTTTATTTGAACGGCTTAGATTAAATAGTACGTCTAGGTCTGTCATAGCAGTTATTTTTCTTGTATAAAAGCAGCTTTAGGCCTTTGTAATTCGGGTGCTTCCATTTTGTAATTGTCGACATTTTCTATTGAAAATCCTTTGAAGCATTTTCTCCTTGTGTTCTTCAAGAGTTCTTCATTGTGTTCTTATTGATTRCTACCTGCTTGATTTACATACTGTCCGCTGCGTACTCAATGTCTATTTAATTAATCAAGTAAGTTTTCAATACCCTGAACTGAGTAATACGGTCCAAGAATTGGTATCAAAGCCTTGAAATCAAATTTTAATTTGATTTGATTGTTCTTGGTATTCATTATTTCCTGCTCAAGAACACAGTCGTCTTCCTCAGTCTACTTATCCTAGTTTTTTTTTCACTGTTTAATCAATCCTGTACTGTTTTATTCTGTTTCTTCTTCCCATTTGGCAAATATGGCTAATTCATC